AGAAACTCAGAGCATCATGGGGCCCCCCAGCAGCCTAGGCCTATAGCAGCATAAGGCTCAGGGTCACCTGATTGACCCTAACTATGAGCTTTATCAAAAAGGAAAGTCTTAAGTCTACTCTTAAAGGTAGAGAGGATGTCCGTCTCCTGAACTGAGATTGGGAGTTGGTTCCATAGGAGAGGAGCTTGATAGCTAAAGGCTCTGCCTCCCATTCTGCTTCTGTGGACTCTAGGAACCACAAGTAAACCTGCACTCTGAGAGCGAAGTGCTCTGTTAGGATGATAAGGCTCTACGAGGTCTTTAAGATACGATGGAGCCTTGTTATTAAGGGCTTTGTATGTTAGGAGAAGGATTTTGAATTCTATTCTGAATTTTACAGGGAGCCAGTGGGGAGAAGCTAATATGGGAGAGATATGATCTCTCTTGCTAGTTCCTGTCAGTACTCTGGCTGCAGCATTTTGGATTAACTGGAGGCTTTTTAGGGAATTATTGGGACATCCTGATAGTAAAGAGTTACAGTAGTCCAGCCTGGAAGTAACAAATGCATGGACCAGTTTTTCAGCATCACTTTGAGACAGGATGCTCCTGATTTTTGCAATAAAAGGTGTCCAAAGATCTATGGCCAGAGCTGGAGAAATATCTGGAGACTTTAGACATCTGGACAAGCTACATAGAGGACCTGATGGTAAAACTGAAACTGATCTGCTCCAGTTGTCTGTCAGTGAATCAGACAACAGAGTCCAAAGTTTTAAAATAAGAAACAGCATTGGGGTTGTTGGAAAAAACAAAAACATAGAAGAAGGCATCTGGACAAGTCAAGTCAAGTCCAAGTGTTTATTGTCATGTGCACAGGAAACATGTTTCCCTGTACAATGAAATTCTTACTTTGCTGTCCACAACGAATGCCAAACAGTGTCAGTGCCAAGTACAGTGTGAAATATAAAGTAGATAAAGAAGATAAATAGTAACACAATAAATCTAAAGGCATTTTAAAACAGCAAGTGAAAATATAATATAAAATATATATAATAGAAATATAATAAAGAGTGTATGCTACATCGGAGGCTGTATGTGCAACAGTCAAATCAATGTGCAATTGACAAATAGAAGCATTATTTATTGTCATTGTGACACGTACAACGAAATTATGTTTGGAGCCGTGAGCCACAGGCTGCTGCATGCGTGCGTGCGTGCCGCCATCAAGGACACTTTGACATGTGGACTGCAGGCACTGAGATTCAAACCGTCAACCTTCCAGTTGGGAGACACCTGCTCTACCCATCGCACCACTGCTGCCTCCCCATTTACTGAAAAGAAAACTTTCTTCAGTGTCTGTCCAAAGTATCTTGGTGCAATGGAAGAACAAATGAGAAATAGTTTCTCTTACCAGACCACAGAAATCACAGGAATAATCAATATCAAGTCTAAACCCCTTTCCCATAGTGTCTGCTCTCTCTCTCTCTCTCTCTCTCCCGTAGCGTGTCCTCTCTCTCCCATAGTGTCTCCTCTCTCTCTCCCATAATGTGTCCTCTCTCTCTCTCTCCCTGTACCTTTCTACAGGTTGCCCTGGCTCTGGAGCTCTACGTCTCTGATGAGCAGTCACTGGCCACAACAACCGGACCAGTGTTTGATTGTTTATTGTGTCCTGTTGCTTTTCTTCTTCTCTCTCTCCTCTATCCACTCACCCCAACCGGACGAGGCAGAAGGCCGCCCACCAAGAGCTGGGGTCTGTCTGAGGTTTCTTCTGTTAAAGGGAATTTTTCCTCCCCACTGTTGCCAAATGCTGCTCAAGGGGGGTATGTTGGGTTTTCCCTATGTAATAATAGTGATAATAGTAAGGTCTAGACTTTACTTTGTAAAGTGTCCTGAGATTACTCTTTTTTTGTGATTTGATGATTGAAATGTTGTGCCACCTGTATAATACCCTTATCAAACCATTTCCTATCAAGTAAAGATTTATTCCTCTACAGAACATTGTCAAAGTCACTCACATCCTTACACTTGCCCATTTTTCCTGCTTCCACCAATTCAACTTCAAGGACTTTATCTTCACCTGCTGCTTAAGATACCGGCACACTAACGGTGCCACTGTAATGAGATGATCAGTGTTATTCACTTGCCCTGTCAGGGGTCATAATGTTATGGCTGATTGGTGTATAAACATTAGCTGAATCTGACTGAAACAGGATTCACTTGTATCATTTACATGTGGAAAAACAGGAATGCACTTAGTCGGTGAAGTGAACCAAAAACACAGTGTGGGTTCATCCATGGGTTACCTTATAAATAATATAAACCCACTGACACTGTGGAAAACATGAATAATAATTGATTTGATTTTGATTTATTCTTTCAGGCATGTAAAGACAGTTGATATGTCAACACACATAATTTTACACATATCCAACAAATGCTAATCCAATATCAATTTGCTTATACCTAGTACATGCTTGAATGGAGTAGGAAGAAGTCAGACTTATCCAGTCCTACCCCATGACATCATCTTACCATCATTGGTTTGCAAGCAATAAATGATTCACTTCTACACACACACATATTATACTAAAAAAAGAATATAACAGTGTTAACATTCTTAAATCACACAATTGATATACTAAAGAATGGTTACAAAATATAATCATTG